GAGCTTGTATATTTATGAAGACAAGAGAAATATGCATAGTTTTACAGTGAATAATTGTTATACTTGTGTTTTATCATTAAGTAGGTATGCTCAACAAGGACAACAATTATCTAATGCCATCTACTGTAATATTTTTGTTATTTCCTGATTACTTAACTGTGAAATACCCACTTCCCACCCAAATAAAAGCAATTTATTATAAAGAGTTTAAACTGGGTGAAGCAGATTATTTCTAAATTAATTTTGCTAATCAAATTATGTATTTTTCATTGTTTTCTAAAATTCTGAAAGTTTCTCTAGTTGGAAAAATAGTGAATTCTCAAGACTGGAGTCAAAAAATGCTTCATTTCAGATATCATGTTTCATCAAAACAGCACTGTCTTTTGTTCATTTTAAGTCAGGAAAATTTTAGTAAATCAGTTGAAAATCATTCTTATGCTTAAATTTCTGAATAACTGCTAGAATAACTTAATAAATCTACAATGTGAAAGCCTGTTCTTCATTTGATAAAAGGACAATGTTTTTGAACAAATGTATATTCTAATGAACAGCAAATTTTTTACATTTATTTTTAGTTCATTAATTACTCTAAAGTTTCTAAAAGGCTTATTGACAATGCAACAATTAAGAAAAGTAAATTCTAAAACATTTTTAAAATTTTTCCTTCCATCTATTTCACAGATCCCTCTTGATAGAGTTGCAATTCATTATCAAAATCTTATGTAAAATGTTCACTTAGAATTTTTCCAACAGAACATTTAATAGAAGAAAAAAAAAACTTGGTTTTGTGTTTTCATTCCAAGAAATAATCATCAGGTCAAGAATTCTCAGATTCTCCTGACTCATTCCCTCCAACCATCTCTGTCAGCAATTCCTCCAGATGAGTGCGCCGCTACTATAGATACTTGAGCATATTACAAAAAAACATTTGTATTGACTTTGTGCACTATAAAAATTGGTTTATTAAAATAAAGGCTTTTGTAGTTATAATTTAAAAATATCAACCAAGGCTAGTATTTCCAATGAAAATCATAACTTTTGATGGATACTTATATTCAAGTAGATGCTCTGTTTTTTTAATTAAACTGTGAGATAGACTCTCCCGGCATATGCATGTCCAGCAGCTTTCGATTTTTTTTTAATAGATGTTTATGTCGATTATGACACTTACAGACAAAATCACGTTACGTACAAAGCTGCTGGCCGCAGATTGTTTAGTCCTTATCTCCCTTAGATGTTGGAAGCAAGCACCAAATTCAAATGCTTTTAATGCCATTTGTGACGGCATACTCCACTCTTTTCAGTCCGGGGTCACATCTGTTCAAAGGTTTTAATGTGATACCCCGAAACATCCAAGATTGTTTCTTCAGCTTGTCTTTGTACCTGAGCCAATATTTCTTTTGCCACTGTGTAGCCGGCTGTCTATGAGAACTTTATTGTCAAAGCAAATATTTTATTAAAAACAACTTGCAATTTCATAAGATTTTTTTTTTTACAGTAATAAAATACTTTGTGGGATATTTTGGTCTTACACCTATGTTAATGCATTTTAATGTTTTACAATTAAAATGCTCAAATAAATTTGGCATTGTAAATGAAAAAGCAGAGGCAATTCATCAAGGGAGATAATTTTTCTTAGCCAAATTTCATTTGATATTTGGCAAATTGGGATTTAGAAAATACATTTTAAGATTTTTAATTTTCGCAATAATAAAAAGGTGTAAGATTGTAAATGTGATTGTGCCATGTGAATATTTTGCCATTGTTTTCTTTAGTTATTTGATTGTAAATGAGTTCGCAAGAAATTTTCAATAATAAAATAGGTTTAGCTAAAATGATATATCTCTTGTAATTGTTTTGCACCAAGTGTAAGCTTTTGAAAAATGTTTTTAACAAAATATTTTCAAATTCTTTTGTTTTGTTTGTTTGCTAAAGGATATCTTATGGATCTCATTTGAGAATCAAGAACAATTTAGAGCAGAAAGGAGATCTGACATTGCTTGAGGTGAAAACTTCAAATATATCTATAGGAAAATAATTTCTAAGAAAGTGAAAAAAAATATTTACATGTAAGCCAATATTCAGCTACACAAAATGAATTAATTTTAGCTTTTGTAAGATAAAAGTATGAATGGCAGAAAAAAAAAGTCATTTCAAATTTGTTCTTTTGTTCCTTTACAATGCAGAAATGTGGCAAAAATTTTATAATTACAAAATTCAAGATATTTTGCTATCATGAAATCTTTCCATTAACTTATTTACATTATTCGGATTGTTGTCCTCATCTTTGTTGTTATATTTCACATTTCAGCCATTGTACATTCCTGCCTTCTTCACATAATTGGAATTTTGAACAGAACCTTTTATTTTGTCCACCAGGGTAGATTGTTCTAGTTCCACATGCAATGCCTTTTCTGGATATCTCAGTTTCAGTTATTTCTCTTTAACTCAACTCACCAAGTTTTTTTTAACTCACACCTCTGTTGCATCAACACTTTTATCCACTTGAGGATATTGGTGTATGAATTTTTGGGACTTATAAACCCCAAAATGACTCCCCTCCCCAAATTCATGTTACAATTTGTTGATTTTCTCTAGCACTCTGTATCCCATATTGTATTCATTTCTATGCTTGATCAGGTTAGGAGATTTTTGTGGCCTAGCATATGTACTGATTCTTTAAGTTTTTGTATTTTCCAGTGATGTCTTCTATTATTTCAACATCATCCAAAAGGAGAATAATCTCCCTTTTGACTTGGTTTTCAAAAGTGCTTTATACTAAATGTACCTTTTTATTTCACCAAAGATGTTTACAGATTTATATGGATATAGCTAATGACGTTATAGTAAAAAGGTTTTCAAAAGTAAGTTTGGTAATAGTACATTAGCACATCAATCTTTTCTTAATTACCAATAAGAAATAAAAGTTGACCTAGGACTGAAAAATATACTCTGCAATCATGCAGAGTAATATATTTTTTTAAAGGTTTCCTTTTCCATGAAACAATTTATTTTTATGCATGAATAATACAGAACTTTTGGAATGGTTCTTCAAATTTTAACTTGCTCTCCATGACATTTTCTTTAGCACAAGATCATTGTAAAAAAAGATGAAAAATATTTTGCAATTGTAAAAAAAATTTGTATTTCCATAAAATATTTTTTAACTTAAAATTAGTTCAATAAGGAATATAAATGGCTGTTTTATGTAATGCAATAAAGCTTTTATATAAAGAAATTTGGTAAAACAATGTACCAGGTGAAAAATAGTTTATTAGCATAAGATTTTGAAAATGTTGTCAAAGTTTTAGCATGAAAATCACTTTTTCAAAAATAAGTAGTCACATTTCTTGCTCAATACATTCATTTTTAAATATTTGATGTCAACAGATTTTCTTTTCAAATATGAGTTCAGTTTATCAATTATAGCAGCCCTATAATGCAACATCAATAATTGATTTGCTTGTTTCTTATGACAAGCCATTCATGGGTTATTTTAAAGATGTAGGAAGTCGCTGGTGTTCCCAAGCAGTGCTCCATCTACATACTGACACAGCTTAACTTTAGTGATTGAACAAGATTCTGGATTTTCTTTGATTTCATTATAAGCACAATAAAATGTTAAACTAAAATTCCACTATGAATTCAAATCTAGATTAGCAAAACAGACTTTACATTTGTGTTCTCATTGACTGACTGGCACACACAAATTATTATTATTATAAAGGCATTTAAAAAAAAGATAATCCTGACATGCAATTTTCTTTACTGGTGCAAAATTATTGTTAATGAAGATCTTATACAAGCAAAAAAAAAAAAAAAAACAAAACAACCTATCCCACAGTTGTAGTGTTCAAAAATTGAACACTGCCAAATAAGTCTATAAAATAAAAAAATTCCCTTTTACCACAATGTTATTGAATTTAATGAAATCATTTTTCAGTATAATAAATCATCATAGACAAAAAAGTAGTTATTTTTGCTGTGAATAATTCTAATAAACAATGCTTTTTGAAACAGTTTTAAATAAAATATCAAATTTTTAAAGCCCTCATTTTATACATTCTGTCTGCTTTTCTTCTTTAAGAGGAAAAAAAAGAATCTTGCAGAAACTGCTAATCATGACAAAGTTACTTTATACAAAAGCAGTCAATGTTTGTAAATACAAAGAAAGAGGGTTATATTGAGGAAATATTTTTGCAAAGGATTATCTACTAATTCTGATAAATGATGCACAAGCCAATTTCAGAATTCTAAGATAAAAAATGCATTGAGTTTTAAAATGTTAAAAGTTAATCAAGTTTTGGTCATTCACATTTGAATGTAAAAATCATTAGATTTTTATACAACTATAAACTATTTCCGTTTACCATTTTTCTCATTATTTTAAAAAATATGGGATTTTGTAAGTTTTGCTTTCATGTCAAAATATTTGAAAATATTGATAGGTAAAAGAAATGAATTCTTGAAGTTTTCTTGTAGAATATTTTTAAGAGATTTATTTAGAAAAAGACTGAAATTAAACAGCATGCATTACAAGTTTACCAATCTAAATGAACAGGCCACATATTTTTCAGTACATTTCTTGCTTAGGGAACTTTCTTTGCTGTCAACTTTGATCTTCAAAAATATAAATGTAATCTCATTTATCTTTGTTTTCTTGTTCCTTCGCCTTGATGTCTTCTTTTTCTCATATTTACCCCTGGCAACTTACTGGCTTTATTACCTTGATGATGAAAAATTATATTTATATATTTTGCAATGAAGTATCCTTAAAATATGCAAATTTTAAGAATAGTTGGAAAATTCTATATCCTCCCCTGACCAAAAATAACAATCAAATTCTGATAGCAAAATATGAAAACTGAAATTTAAATAACCATAGATTAATTTCCTTTGAACAAAGTGCAATAAAAATCTAAGGAGCATAACTTATTTACCATACATAACTGCTTTTAGTCTATTAGGGCAACTGTTACAGAATTATTGTTAATAGATTATTACATAGATAGATTATTAACAGATAGAATGTAGTAAGCTTGGAAAGAAAAAAGGAAATAGACCTTTTAAGAGAAAAATGTAAAAAATATCAGGCTTTGTTAAAAGTTCTTGCCAATTTTAACATCATGGAGAAAAGGTTTTAATCCATGTAGCGTAACACCATATAATTATTGTCTTTTTCTTTGACGAAACCAAATTGGGAATAATAAGGCAGTAAATGTGTTTTACATTCTAAGGAAACCTTGTAGCATCCAAGTTTTTTACTCTGGCTAACCAAAATTCCCAGCAACCTTAAAAATAAAAAATAAATAAAAATAAATATTTAAATAACAACAAAATAAAAGCAGTGATCTCATCAAGGAAATTTCAACAACAAAACTACAAATAGAAAGAAGTTTGACTGGAAGGAAACACAATCAGCCAGAAATTATTTTTTTAATAGCAAAATACTATAAAAAAACATATCCATTTAAATTTCAGCTACTTTTCATAACAAATACTACAAATAGTTTTAATGAAAAAAATTAAATTTTAAAGGAAATAAATACTACTAATAATAATGATGAAGATGATACTGTAATGAGTTGGTCGGTGAACTTGACACCCCCAAAGTGAGTGGAGGTGGGCAGCCGCGGGAACTGTGATTTGTAGCTGGCTTGTTGGTGTTTTGCATAGGTGATTTACCAAGCTTTATGTAAAGGGCTGGAATGAGGAGGAGGGCAGTTTTTTTTTCAGTCTCAGAAATGGAGACTGTGTCCGTCGCTACGACAGCAGGAGAGAAAGAGATGAAATCATTTATTTTTTCGTAACACATTCCAACACAAGCTATTTCGGCATTTACTTTGTCTCTAGCAAGATGGTGGAAAGACCGTTCGATATAAAACTGATCTCCGAATTCAGTAGTGATACGAGTGGACAGTCTGTGGTTGAATGGATCATAAAAGATGGACTCCAATTGACGTATTATTGCAGCCAGGAAGCGATGTTCGATCCCCGAAGCAGTATATATATTGGTATAATGCGATGCCTAAAGACGGTGTTTCACCTACAACAGCACCGGCTAACATGGTGCACGCCTATCACTTACGACTGCAAGGCATTGACATTGTAATGGCTCCAAGTGACGCGCAAGCTAAATACAGAATTGGTGATGTAGTGTGGGTTAAGACCCCGCGCAGCAAGTGTACGGACAAGCTTAAAATGGGGCATGTTACCGAGATTATCAGCCCGCAGTCAGTGCGAGTTGATGGCGTGCCTAGTCCTGTTAAAGACTTGCAGCCAGTTGTAGGGTTAAAACCGTCATCAGATGATGAAAGTGACTCTGAAGATGGTGCGTGAGTGGTGTATTTAAAATCGGGTCCACTGAGTTCTACCTCAAACATCAGTACTCTACCTACGGACGTCAATGTGGCCAGCTGTCCAGAGGTGGATGGTAGCTCAATGGATGAGAGTTTATCCGAGGATGAGGACCCTGTCATCCTGCTCAGAAGGAGTGCCCGGCAGAAGAGGCCTGCCACGAGTTGCACGTTGTGCGAGCATGACAGTGAGACACAGGATGAATCTGGAAATCTGCCACCTCGGAGCAAACGAGTTCGCGCATGTGTGGTTATCCCAATATGTCAAGCGTGCAAGTTGTATATATGCGGACGCAGTCACTAGACAGACGCAACCATCTCTCAAACTGAGAAGCTTTGTGATCTCAAGATCGGGGGTGGGGTGTAATGAGTTGGTCGGTTAACTTGACACCCCCAAAGTGAGTGGAGGTGGGCAGGCACGGGAACTATGATTGGTAGCTGGCTTGTTGGTGTTTTGCATAGGTGAGTTACCAAGCTCTATGTAAAGGGCTGGAATGAGGAGGAGGGCAGTTTTTTTTCAGTCTCAGAAGTGTAGACTGTGTCTGTTGCTACAACAGCAGGAGAGAAAGAGACGAAATCATTTATTTTTTCGTGACACATTCCAACACAGATACAACTGAAAAAATATGAAAATTACAAAACTTTAATGTATTTTCAGGCTAGTAGAAATTCTGCCAAAAAGTGCTCTATAGATAAACCAAGAAAATACTCATCTGGTTTTACATAAAAAAAAAACTGCTAAAAAATTAACAGGTTCTAAATTTAAATGTGATGCTATAGCATATTAAGAATTTCAAATATTCAAAAAAGACTAAATATGGGATCTGATAAGTTCAATAGATTTATCAAACATCTGGCCCTGATGAGTTTTTCAATGCAAAACTTGCAAGTCAGTCCAATCAGATGATTCACTTGAACTATTTTGACTTTTTGAAATAAAAAAAACCATAATATTTTGATGGATAAATTTTAATAGATTTTTCAGTTTAATTTCATGTTAAATAATTTTAATAGATTGTACCATTAGATGAAGCACTGTCAACCATTACTAATTTTTTTCTGGAAAATATATTTTAAACCAAATGTAGGATTTATATTCTTTAAGTTATAGACATATTGTATTTCTTAATATGTACAATTTAAAGTTATGTATTGGAAGTCTTCTTTCTATATGTAAAAAACCAATTTCAGTAATAAATAATTTCAATATATCAACTAAGATGTTCATAAAAGAATGATAAAAATGACAAGCTTCAGTAATTGGTAATTTCTTAGCGATATATTTTTCTTTGAGATAAAATTTTCAATAGGTTTTATATATCAATGATAAGAGAGACTATGATGCCTAGAATTTTATTAAAAAAAATTGGGCAAATTTTAAATGGAAAATAAAAAGAATGTGAGTATCTTTGGAACAACTTAAAAATTGGCTCATATAACTATACATGTTTTTAATAAAAATTAAAAACGTATAGCTATACGCACAGAATAAAATGATCTATATAAATGTGAAAGATGATTATATTTAATTAAATTAGAAAAAAGTATAGGACACTAATAAAGAACAAAAGTTTTGTTTACTTACAATTTTCCCAGTTGCTGTCCTCGATACTCATTACTGACAACAACATCTTCAATTCTTCCTCTCTGCAAAAGAAAACAAAAAACAAAAGGAAATTTCAAAAATGTAATTTATCTTGTGATTTTCCTTTTGCATAATTTTTATATCTTCCTGAAGCAGTCCATACTAAATAGAAAAGAAACTGATGTAGAAATTAATTTCAGGTTACTCAAAAAAAGTTCATTTTTTCCCCCCCTATCAGCAAATGAAGGTTGGTCATCTTTCTACAAAACAATATTAATGCATGATGAAGTCTTTGATGTGTGTTTCTCTTTTAGTAAATTGTTTTGCACTAGTTTTGTGTAGTGTTTGAGTGGTTTCACTAGATCTGGAGTTTTGTGTCTATATGCTTCTGAGATGGAAGTGGAGGTGGCAATTTCAATGCTGATCAAGGACTGTACAAACGTGCTCATGTATTCAATTGCAGTACAAGGTGATGGACATGAATGCAATAGGCCCAGTCATTTTCACCATTTTCGTTTCTCACCTGAAGTACTATGTCATTTCTTTAGGTCACACACCCAAGATAACTGTGATGAATGGGCTATGGCTGATTGTGGTAGAACAATGTCTCCAACTTGTATTGAGTCTTTGTATATGAGCTGGCTTAATTTTTCATCTATTCTATGGTTAGCTTTGTTGTTTCCAAGTGGCATGTTGGTGGACTTGTCTCTGCAGATTATTTATCTGCATGATTTAAGCTCCAATGTCATAGTTATGTCCTCGTGGGGGAGCGTGAACAAACCAATATTCAGGGTGGTGCTTGTCAGTTGTAGCATAGATGAGACTACAGATTCAAAGACATCAGTTCATTCACAAATGCATGTTGAGTGAAGACAGTTCTTCACTCAACATGTAAAAAGCATTTTTCATTTTGTATTGTTGCCACTCAATGTTACTCAAGCTTTGATGCTAGTTCACAAAAATATCTGTAGGCCTTGATTGTGAAATGGGTTTCACAGTTGGAGGACACAATGCAGAGTATTTCCTGGTGACAAAGGAAGAAATGATAGGGCAGTGACAATCACATTATTTGAATGTGAAATACTGACTAATGCTGTCCAAAATTGTGAGACTATATATCATTTGCTTTTGGAGATGGGCATCATGAAAAAGTTTATGTATATATAGCCTTTTGTTTGCCTACAATGACCAATGGGCCAGTTTCCATAGTTTCCCTTGTGTTTGTAGAGGTGATGCAGGAATCAATGTAAGCCTTTCTGTTGTGGTTCTTGAACTCCCATCAGTAACTGGAAAGATGTTCACACATATGAATAACAGTAAGGTATGACCAGTTTGACCATCCCTAATCATCAAGATGGAGGTGCTAGGTTCTAAATAAAATTGATGGATGTACATATGGATGTACATTTGGAAGAGTGTAGAATGCTTGTCACTGAGGTTAATTGGTGTTAGCATCAGGTGCCTAGCTTGAATCAACCAACCAGAGGGCTTTGATGATTCTTGATAGCATTTTATCAGATGCCTTCTAAATGGTGATGTTGAGATGATTGATAATCATCCTGGCAGGGATGGTTGAGATGGTATGGTAGGCAGAGAATGTGTTGGCAGACCATCTATGACACTGTGTGTTCCATGGTGCCCCAGAGCCAAGGTATGTACCTTTGATTTCACCAAGCTAACAAGATGGAATATTGATATATAAGCTGGAGCTTTAGAGTTGGAATGTTTTACCAGTTTTTACTGGTAGTTTGCTTATTTTTTCGACCATATCATTGACTGCACATGTCAATCCAGACATTTCATTTATTTTTTACATATTCCAAGATGATGCTCAGAGACCCTGCATAAAGAGCAACTCTTTATTTTTAATTTTGCTTTCATGGCATTCACACCCAGTTTCTATATGAAGTGAATCAGAAAGAAATCAAATTGAAGCAAAATATAACAATGTCAATATTTGATACTTAAATAATTGATATGTCACTAAAAACATAATAAATAATTGATATGTCACTAAAAGCATAATAATAATATAGCACTATACCACCATAAATGTTGCAAAATGAAGTTACTCAATTTTTTGCTAAACTTTATAAAATCAAATCAAGGAAGACAGAAAAAAAAACAAATCCAGTAGATTCAGTATTTCAACTATATACTATATATATATATATATATATATATATATATATATATATATATATATATATCATCATAAAACTCATGGAGCATGTCCTTACATTGAATACTTTCAACTTCAATGGAGCACACTACCTTCAAATAAGAGGTTGTGCCATGGGCTCCATTGCAGCCCCATCATATGCTACAATATTCATGGGAAAATTTGAGGAGACCCATATCTATCCAATCATTGGTAGCGACTGCATATTCTATGCAAGATATATCGATGATATATTCTTTGTATACACAGGTAGGGATGACAAACTTACCCAATTCCTTATGACCCTAAACACAGTGCACGACTCAAGTTTGACTATGAAAAATCCACAACATCAGTAACATTTTTAGACACCCGCATTTACATAGATGAAAACAGGAAACTACAAACGACACTACACACTAAAATCACCGACACCCACAACTATTTACACTTTAAGTCTTCCCACCCTAAACACCTGAAAGAGAACCTTCCCTATTAACAAGCACTTAGACGGATATGTTCCAACAATGAAGAATTAAATAAACACATTGAAAATCTGGAGCATCAATTCACAATACATGGCTATAAACAACACCTAATCAGGGAACAAATAAATAAAGCAATTTCCACACCTAGAGAAGACACCCTAATGTACAAGATTAAAAATAAATCTAGCCGCATCCCTCTAGTAACCACTTTCAATCCCACTCTGCCTCCGCTATCCCAAATAATCAAACGTCGCTGGGAAATACTACATCTCAAATCAGACCTAAAAAAACTGTTTAAGGAACCCAGCCTTCTGGCATATCGTAGACCTAAGAACCTAAAAGAAATCATAGGTAGTAACCACATTTCAGGGGACAAGGTAATCCATAATAAACTAAGAACAAAAACAACAGGATTTTATGCAACCATGTAACAACAAAAAGAAGTTTATGTTGCAAAACCATATTAAAAACACGAATTCATTCACTAGCTCAATCACTAAATCTACTTTCAAAATCTACCACGATTCTAACTGTAGAAGTCATAACATAATTTACCTCCTAGAATGCACACTATGCCAGAAACAATATGTAGGAAAATCTGAATGGCCCTTTCACTACAGAATTAATAATTATCGTAAGTGAATTAAGTCGACTCCCCATGAAAATTATTACCTGTAGAACAACATTTCCGCCTGGAAAAACATGATTTCAAAACCCATGCCAAATTCACTATAATTGAGAGAATAGAAAATTCCAGAGCAGATAACATTAGAAAGATTTTAGAGTCCCATGAAAATAAGTGGATACAACGTTTAAAAACATGCTTTCCAGCCGGGCTAAACCACAAATTTAACAATATAGATAGTATTAATATACAAGTCAACAAATCAAAACCTACCCACATTTCTCACCCACACAAGAAAGACATGCTTACGGAGGTGTCGAGGCCTCACACTTATACACACACCCACACGAATATATACACACTTACACACATCATACTCACTCACTCCCTAATGAGCCAAATGATAACACACAATCACAGCAATACACACGCTTACACATATCATACTCACTCACTCCCTAAGAACAAAATAACACACACACAAACACTAAACAGAGACACATCCCCTCACCAGGTCGAATAAAACTGTCAAACTGACCAGAGAATTCAGAGCAACATGTATCTATCCAGCTCTTATCTCAAATAACAACTTAAAAGAGACTGTTTGACCAACACAAGGAATGTTAAAAGATTCATGTTAAAAAAATAAAAAAATAAAAAACAAATGAAAACTACAGACAAAAGTTCATTTTCTCCAGCAAGATATTCATTTCTGTAGTTTAGTGCTAACAGCAAGCAGAAATATTTCTCCTCCCAATGATGGCCATTTTGGTTGAAACTAGTCGAGGAATCTAAATGGAATAATAATAAAAAAAAAACGAAAGAATATTAATCTACAACCCAGTTTGTCTAAAGATTTTAATTTTTTAATTTTTTTTATTGTTCAAAATATATATATATATATATATATATATATATATATTGTGTGTGTAACAGTAAATTACAGTAAATGCACTTCTGGTATTGTTCAACAAGTTTTTTCATCCCTTCTAAAAACAAGCTTTTTGGTTGCTTATGAATCCACATTTACACTGTTTGTTTTTTTGGTTATTCAACAAGACTTTCATGGTACCCCAACTCATCATAACTCTCTGCCCACAGAAAGCACACCTCAATGGTGCAATCATTGAGTTCACAGATCTGATCTCACTGCCATTTAACTGAATGTGGAATGCTGCACACAGCTAGCAAGAAAATTTAATACTTACACTGGATGCACTGTGTATAAACTTCTGTTCTATTACTAATGTAGCCGTGCCTATGACTTGCTTTGTTGTAAGATCTTCTATCACTGTTATGTAGTATGTATCTGGACAAGATTTCATTGCATTAAACCGAGCTGAAAATACAAGAGAACAATGTTTTCATATGGAAAAGGGAATACAAGTCCAATTCCTGTCAAGAAACATGTTTTTTGTTAGTAAAGACTTCTTAACTACTAGACCAGTTGACATTAATTTCACTGTTTTAGAATAACAGGGATGTCAACTCAAACGTGTACTCACTAAAAGAAGAAATATATATTTGTTTGAATTTCTTGGATGAAGAGTTATCATTATTTACATGCAGATGATTACCCTTATTTTTTGTTGTTACAACATCTCAGATGTTGTACCTTCTGGCCTTCATCAGTTGTAGGTTACCCAGATCAATATAGACCTGATGAAGGCCAGGGGGCGCAGTGGTTACAATATCATGGTAACAATAACAAAGATGAGGACAATAGTCCACATGTAAATAAATAAGAAACACAAATATATATTAACTTTAGAAGAGTATGTTTTAATGATAAAATGTTTATAAGGTTATGTTAGCAAAGGAAAACTGTTACCATGGTGGGAAAGCAATTTCTAATGGGTCTGCCAAGAGACACAAGATCTGGCATTATCCTGATTGAAAGCCATAGCCTATTGATTTGCCAATTCCAAATACTTTTTATCAATTGCTGCCTTTAATTAGTCCAGCATGCACAGTACTTGTCAATGTCTGATTTTGAGACGAAGACCAACTTTTGGAATATGCAGGTGGTGTAATGGATAACTGATCAGAATGAGCCAGGTTCAGTTTTCAGTAAAATTCTTTACATTCACTTATGTGGAAGGGTATGAATCCATTGCTTCTTCCCCAGGGCTATGAGTTAAATAGCAGGACAGACTGGACCCTATTGCCTTGGCTGTCTACTGTGGAAATTCTTCTGCCATGTCAATCATGAATCAAAAAGAAACATGATCACCCAAGTATGCATTATGCATGGCAGCTAAGAAAGGAAGGAACAGTGGCTCATTTTGTTTTGCCCAGAAAATACATTTTTTTGCCAATGATTGTTCTTTTCAAAAAGATTGCTTTGCTGCATTTGAACAGAGAATTGTAAGTGGAAATGTGATCCATTGCATATTTTCTGTTAAATTGTGAGGCACCATTGTAGCAATTCAAGTATCCAAGTGTTTTCAAATGTTTTACAATGCTCATACGATGTTGTGTGAAGTAGATTATTTTTTATCAGTGTTTCAATTTGTTCATCATCAATGACTGCAGGCCTGTCAGACCATTTTGGTCTCCCAGATCAAAAATTCTACTTCTGAACCTAGTGAATCACTTACAAACTACTCTCAGTTATGGTACATATCTTTTTGCTGCTTGTACACTATTTTTTTCCTTTCTGGAAATAAAAAAGCATCTCATTTTCTTCCATGTTCACTTTTAACATAAAAACATTTAAAATTCACAATCAACATGAAAAGTTTTTAGAAAAACATGTAAAAATATCACTTTTTAAAATGTGTGTATGTGTGTCAAATTTTAAACATATGTGAAACAAAATCAAATTAAAAGTGTCAAGCAAGAGGTTTTACCTCAACAGGTTATTTTTGTTTCTTTTTCTTCAATCATTAATACAAAAAGTAAATTTACTCTACTTATTGAACTATTTAGTTCATGCCATGTTGACTGACAAACTCCTACAACAAAAAAAATTCTTAAACTGCCATATTAGTAAAAAACACACTCACTTAAATTTTCAAAAATTCAACCTTGCATGCTCCACAAGTTTGTATCCGTTATCAGTAACACATTTAAAAAAAAAAAAAAAAAAGAAAAATTCAATGTGCATTACATTTTTTCGTCTCGGATGCAACCTGAATTTTACTAAAAACAAATAGTTTCTATGCCTGAAGATGACAGAAGGACCTATCGAAAGCACTTGCATATTTAATACAATTAATAATTTTAAAAAACAAGGATCATAACATTCATTGAGTGTTTAGTAGGTTAATGCATCTTTAAAAATTAGCAAATTTATATCATTAACTTTACTAATTTACTTTTTGGATGAACGATTCATTGTAATATAAATTAAACTGCACAAGATATATATATATATATATATATATATATATATATATATATAAAGGGTGGAGATTTCCACATATTAAAAATAATTCATTTTTTTTCTCTTTTTCGATGTTAAATATTCTTGATATGAGACATTTTCTTTTTTGTATTAGTGATCCAAACGTCTTTCTTGAACTGGCAGGGAAAAGTTCTGCATGAAGGGTTATAAAACAATTAAGATTGGTTCAAGAAATGATGAAGTAGTTATCAGCATGCTTATCTTTTAATGACCCCTGTTTGTTCTTAGATTTATTTCCATTTCCGTGTGCTTTTGTCAGCATGCATGTATATATGTGTATATCCCCTCACCACAAGGAATCAGTGAACACATCTGTACACCCACACCCACATACTGTCCCATTACAAGGAATCAGTAGACACACACACACGTATATACACATACTTCCCAAGTTACATGGAATCAGTATACATACACACACACACTTCCTAAGTTGTGTGGGATTTGCGTGCATGCATGTGAGTAGTTCTCATGCTTTTATCAATATGTATATATGTGTGTGTGTATATATATATATATATATATATATATATATACACACACACATGCCCCACAAACATCCACATGTGAGCATCTCAGTATCCAGGATAGAGTGAGTGTAAATATGTGGATAATTGAAGTCAAAACTGAGTGGTAACAGTATATTTACTGGTTGAACACAATCTTCAGACTATATATAGGTGTTTGAAGCCAACAAAATTATTTGTTAAGGATATTTTTTCAAACTATTTTCCTGATTTCCAGTGAGAATTTAAATATAATTTGTCCCGTGTCTGAGAACTTTTGGCTTTCATAAGTCATTACCAGAGGTTTTGTTTTCTATAGGTTTTGTGTTTTTGTATTATGTCAGATGTTTGAAAAAAAGATAGTTTTTATCAAATGTTGTCTTCACACATTTCATTTTTTTTTCAAGTATCACATCTTCACATGTGAGTTTGTCATGCACAAACAGTCAAAGATCTGCAGGAATGTTGTAAGTGCAACCAAAAAGGGATTACAAAAAACTTCTTTCATTTAGTTCAATTTTGGGATGTAGGTTGAGCCATGAACTTTTCAGCAGTCCCTAGTGTGTTTATGCAAATTGTTATTTCAAAAGACTGAATGAAACATTACCTGAAAATTGTTCAAATGAAATATCTCCAACTGTTGTTAACTGTGATAATAAATTGATGTATCCTTGTAAAAGAAAAAATACACAAAATGAATAAATTAACAAAAAAAATATAAAATGTCATTAAGTCAGCAAGCACTGTTTATGACCATGCCACCACAGAGTCATTTAGTGGCCATTGGAAATTGTTAGCATAGAACTTACAGTTACAATTAACAATTTCAATAGTGAAATTATAAAACCTAGCTGCCAATCTAAATTAATTTAAATTCATGAAGTCAAGGAACCAACAAGGAGAACTGGTCAGAACATTTGTTTATAGAAGAGGCAAAGGAAAACTATGTTACCATGGTGGGAAAGCAACTGAATCTGAGATGCTAATTCTTCTTTTATCAAGAATCTCTAGATATTAAACAGAAGCACCAGACCAGATGTGGCCACAATATTCAATGTGATTTATACTTTAATAAAAAATAAAAATTTAAAAAACAAACTTCTACAGTAAATCTACAATTTTCAACAAAATTCCAAGAGAGTAACCTTCAAATATGAATAGCAATTTAAATAATTTATGGAAATTGGCCAAAAGTTATTCAGTGTCAAATAACTTTTAAGCTATGCTTCATAAGAGTAATATCTTTTACAAATTGGCTACATAAGGATTATTCCTGCTATAACTTTCTTAAAATAGATACACAACATAGAAAATAAATAAAACTTACCTTTTTCATAATCAGACTGATATAAAGGTCGCACTTTAAAGCACTTCTGTAAACTTTTTAAATTTATACTTCCAATAAAGTTGGTAATATCCAAATCTTCTAATAATATGGAGTCAAACAGTGGCACATCAATACCATTCTGTAACAAAAAGATATTCAAAACATTTTCACTTGAAATCAATGTTTTATAAAGTAAATACTATGAAATACTTAAAACTAAAGAGTGTGTATGATAAGTCTTCAGTTAAGATCTCAACAAGTTTTACTATAATTATTTTATTATTGTTCTCAAATAACATCAGATCTAGACTCTTCTTACAAATGTCATGCATACAACTTATTCAGAAATGTAAACTATCAGCTACATGTAACTGTTTTCTTAAATTAATGATCTGCCTAGGAAAATTCTCAGCTTATTAATATCTATGCAGATGAAATCACAGTTTACAGACACCTCCAAAAATTCAAATGTTCAGAGCCTGACACCTGATCTCTCCAATGACCTAACCCAGGGCCGGCACATCTTATCCCCAAAACCCCTGACTGGGATGGGAGGAGGATATGGCAGTGTTTTTTTTTTCATCACTGTTTTATGGTCATTGGCCATTTTTACTTAATTATTTTTAAAGTGGCGTTACATTTGTCATTAATATACATCGTGTATCTGCATGGCCGGTGAGGTGCGTACTATGCAGGAACTCCAAAAGTGCTAGATTCAGCAGCGTTTTTTTACTTTTTGTACTTTTTTTTCATGTGTTGTGTTGGAATCTTTGTAAAACATTTTTTTTCAGCAGAGATGCATCGGTGATTAATCTTTATGAAAATTAAATAAGTAAATAAAATGAATATGTACTAAAATTTTCATTTAAACCAGATAATTCCTTGATTTTTGGTAATTTTTAAAAAGTGCTACTCTTCTTCACCCTCACCGCCAACTTTCCTTCAAGGTTGTGTGGCCCACAAATTAGGAAGAGAAAGAAAGTAAGGAGGAGGAAATATATGAAAAAAAATCATTAAAAGTGGAATTTGCCCAGACAATCAAAATAAGAATAGTTTTTAGTCAACTTTTCCTAGCTAGAAGCCAAGGTTATGCCCTTTTGTTTACATTCAAGTTAAAAACTATCTACACATTATTTAGTTCAAGTGTATCAACAATGTCCATTTGGTCAGACATACACATTAATCGTGTAAAATGAAAAGTGTCTTCAGCCATATGTGTTTCTAGCGAGGGAGAGAGAAATGTGAACAAATTTTCATAAAAGAAGATTTCTGAATTTTCTTATTGGGAAGAATACAAACAACTAGGGATAGTGCAAGTTAAAATAAAAATGGTTATCGTGCTAACATTGTCGCATTCACTTTCACACTCTTTTTTGGGGGGAAAGGCATAAATCTTCTGTCTCTAGCTATAGGTTAGTAGAGTTGACTGGATCCTCTAGCCTTGGATGTCAGCCAGTCTATGGCTGGTGTACTCTGAATTCTGAAGTAAAACCCTACTAACTTTCCCAAAGTCATGGCAATTAATCAAGAGGAGGAATCTGTAGAGAGCCATGATCAACTTCACCCTAAAAGACATGAAAAAAAGAAAGAAAAAAATAACTGTCATTAGGAGTTCTATGCAATTTTAATGTGACCTATTTCGTTAGCACAAGTTACTTTACAAGTAGGAAGAAAATATCCTCAATAATGTGTTCTTTTAAAAAATGTTTACTCACCGGCCTTTAACTATTTAGTCTTTGCCAGAATGATTTATGTCAGTTTGAAAAGTTACACTACAGCATTTATTTCCAGTAAATCAAGCCTTTAAAAAATTTATTTCCTTCTTTCGTTAAATAAAACTGTCAAGTTAAACCACATTCATCTGATGACATCCGACAACTGGAAATAAAGTTAATATTGCTGAAATTGTAAAGTAAACCATAAGAGAAAAATGGTTGGTTGCGGGCAATAAGTGACTCAGAAAAACTGAAATTTAACAGCTTTAGCCTCGAGATACTTGAAAAAAGACATTGGTTGTTTTTTTTTCAAACGATTTCTTACATAAAATAAACACTGACAGGATATTGTAAGTTTAGAATCTTAAAAAAAAAAAAAAAAAAAAAAACAGAAATAAAATTTAAGATAAAAATGTCAGACTTACCATAAACGAAAAGTACTATATAAGGGAAATAAATCAATGTTTGTTATGCAAAAATACTTTGAAATGAGAAAACCGGTTATTATTGAGAATGCAGCATCAGTTCTATCAAAATTAGATAAGAAATGCTCGTCTCCTATTTTATTATTCAACTAATATGAAAATAACGAGCGAATAAATTCAATCGAAAGAAAAAAAATGTGAACCATCATTAAACTACTATTTCATTAACTTGTTTTGATTTTATTTTTAAATATTTAAATTTTTCATGTGTTAACAAATTAACAAATTTCTAATTATTTAATATATTTCTGGAATAATTACCTATCATCTTCTTAAAAAGTAAACAAATTCACAATACAAATTCGAATACACTTTCGTTTTCTTTAGTGTTATTTGTTATTGTTAAAAAAATAACGAAAAAAAACTTTCGCGGCCAAAAACAAAAAAAAATTGCAATTTGATTTGATTTAAATGACATTTTTTTTTTTTTGTTCGTTTATTTCTCGCACCGGTAGTTTGGCAGAATTTAAAAGTAATTGTGTAAAACTAAAAGTAACTAGAGTACATATATTGTGTACACTACCCTTCAGTTAAGTGTAGTGTCTGTGTACTGTACACATAGCATAACACGGCGATTGCTCAATAAAATCAACAAAGGCCTATTCCTCCCACGAAATACAAATTTTAAAATAAAGTTTTATTGAACTATTCTAATTTTAAAATAATGACTCAGATCAGAGCTTGAGAACAAATGTTTTTTTAAGTAAGACACTTAATTTAAGAGAAATAAATTTATTTTAAAATTATTTTTAGTTATCTTATTTTACAAGTCTCACAAAGAAACAGTAAATGAAAATTTAGAATTTTTTAATTTCGATGATATATTATTGCTGCTTTATCGTATATTTCTTTTCATACAAAAATCGTCCAACCAAAAGGACTGAAGAAAGAAAATTTATCGCAAAGTGATTTTCGTGTTTTAGGAAAGCGATACTTTTTCATTTAAATGTTTCATTTTTATTTTATTTCATATGCCTTTTTGTTGAAGTGTGAGAAAAAAGTGTTATTGTTACTGTCATTGTTACTGATGGTTTTTATTACAAAATAAATTTGTAGCAGAATGAAAAAAAAAAATTATTATTGAGCATTAGTGCATACGTGTCTAAGACCAGGTGAGAGTTACAGTCTTTCTTTGTAAAACACATCATAAAACACGCGCAATTGCTTGCATTAACTAAAAATATTGCAAAAATAGTTTTTTTAATAAATAAATCCAATATTCACCAGTAACACTTACTTACCTGTATATTATTCATAGTAAGGCACGGGGTAGTACGAGACGAGTAGAAAGTAAATAATCCAAATTGGCAGTATTGACAGTTGTTTCCAAATAATAAAGAAACAAATGGTTTGTTCTTTCTCTAATTCTTTTTTTGTTGTTGTTGTTTTGTTTTTTAATAAAAGTAGTGAGCAAGTTGATTACTTGTTAAAAGTTTTTAAAAAATCAGATTTTTAAAATGCTATTCCAGTATTTAAAAAAACTATTCCTCCTTCTCTTCATTAACCACAGTTCAACCAGGACAGGTGGAAAAAAATAAGTAGTTTTTTTCACAGCTGGTCGAGATGTGGACCGAACTGGTCACACGAACAAATAAAGTGAGAATATTTCGCGTACTTATGATTAGTGACAAAATTACTCAGCCTCGCTTGAACATCCCTGACATTTTTTAGGGATTGATCTTGCCTTGCTTGACTCTTACTTTTTTTTTCAGTTTTAGAGCGGATGTCCCTCTACTGGAATTAAAGTAATCCCAAACTATAGGTAGATTGTGGATAGTAAAATAAATAAATAAACTTATTAACTTAGTTTTGGAACGTATGGGGCACTCAGTGAAGATCGAACTCACTCCAGTACTACTAATGGTCATTCAGACTAGCTCATTTTTACATTACCGCACCTATTGACTCTGCAATATAGCAATTGACTAAGAGCTTATGTGGCACAACGCTGAAAACATAGAGCGAACTCTACCCAGTCGTAATTGACTAGTTTAGCGAGACGAGTAAAATAAAAGCATATTTTTTATGACGAAATACGCCATTAAGGGGAAGTTACTCCCACTTTACCATAATTAAGGTGTGCGCAATTTGCCTGTGCACTCTATTTGAAAGAAAAACCTGATAACCTGTTTTTCAATGGAACATTTTGCACACTCAAAATAAATAAATAAATATTTCATCGTCCTGTAGCTCCAGTTGTATTAGTGCTAATGTAAAGCGTTATATTGACTCGACATTTTACGAAATTGACATTTCCATACAGTTAATAAGCCTGAATTTTGTCTATGTCAACTGGGAGTAAAAGGAAGTTGAATAATTAGCAATGAATTTCTACCTAAATAATTTCAATGGATTTGAATAATTTTGATTAGTCTGAAAAGAATAATAAATTTTTTTAAAACTTTTTTCCCTTTGGTCATTAAAGTTGCATTTATTTCTAAGAAATAAAGATTAATCTTTCTAGGAGACTTTTTATGTGATTAAATTTTCTCTAGCAGATTATAGAATTTATCTACCTTTAAAAAAGATAGCATACAAATAAAATTTAATATAATAGAAAATATTATTTAAATTTTTTTTTTAATTATTTTAAAGGCTAGGTTTGAAATATTAAATATTAAAACAAAACAGCACATTGACAAATTAAGTTTGACAAAATTCGCCCTAAAAACATGACTAAAAATCAGACGTTTAAAAGAAGCAGCATAGAAGATAAGCTTAATTCAGCCAATCATTGAAAGGCTGATTATAGCAATCAACAACAACATATCTGATTTTAAATAATCACTAATATCTTACAAACACTAAAGATCTTTTGGAATGTGACTTAGAAAGTGGGAGTGCTAGGAGCGTTCGTCTGGTTGAAGTTCTTCAGCATGTGAGTCACATTGTGCAAAAGCATCCACTAACCCTGTATGAATGACAGGTAGCATAAAAGAAATTCAATTTCAAATTACAATCTGATCGTTCATTTTGCACTAATGGCGATACTTCGGAAAGGCATGACTTCATATATTCTTCTCTTAGCTTATGTGTTAACCACTATAACCTTTGCGACAGTGAATCTTGGAGAAGTACTATAAATTCAATTCAAAACCTTAGAGAAACTACTCCATTATCTTCATGAATTTGTACGCACGTCACTGAAGACACTCTTTTTATTTTTTTTTAGCCAGATGAACATAGAAAGCAGGTCGTCTAATTTACTGATCATTGAAAACCCGCTTTAAATTTAGTATATTTTTAGACGTATGCTAATTATATGTAGAAAGCAGGTTATCTAATTTACTGATCACTGAAAGCACATTTTAAATCTAATACATTTTTAGACGGATGCTGCTAAGTTTTGACATAATAGAAACCAGGTCATCAATGAATATACTCTGTAATCCATAACTCCTGCAAACTTTAAAAATTAATTTAATTGGCTAGAGACAAGGCAGATAATTCACTTTCTATCTCAATAGCGCCTCTCTGCAGCTTACACTAGAAAGGAGACTTCCGCAGAAAACTAGTTATCAATTATCATAATACCTTGACATCCACTTTGACCACTTGCCATCCACTAGAGAAAATGTCTCCCTTGCCCTCCTTGATTTACTACTGCTACTGTTTTTTTTTTCCCGTTCATCTTCACTTCATTCTTCCACCATTCTTCTACAAAGCAACAAAGAAAGACAAAGAAGTACCTTCATGGAATGTTCAGAGGAGAAGCAACTCCTAAAAATAAATAATATCTGGCACATAGAACGAAGTACACGTGTGAAGATATTTGCCATGTGGACCCGGGCATACAAGAAATGAAGAAGCTTCAGCCACAGTGAATAAAGATTCTTCCTTTAAAGGCCATTCACAACTTCAGAACTATGAAATCAGGCAGTGAAAACGTGGTGGAATGCAACAATTTTCATCAGATTGAATTGGTACAGACAAGCGGAAAATTTGGATTATGCTGGAAAAGGCAAACAAAACCATTGGGAGAATACAGACGAGACAAATTTCAAAATTTGCAATAATAAAATTAATCCCTCTAAAGGACATTAGAGTTTGTCCCAGAACGGTACCATCAAAATTGAGATAAAAGTGACGACGAAGATGTTCTGTCAGAGTTTTAATCTCTTCTCAGTATATTTTGAGAGCCATTCGAAAGGTGCCTCTTTCCTAGAAAGCTGATCTTTGAGGCCGACCTGTTCGCTTGAAGCAGTGGGTGTTAGATGCTATCACAAAGAAGAAAGCGTATCGACTAGTTGAGAGTAGTCATCTTTTTTCGTTGAATCGAATGATTCGTGATATCACTAAGTAAACAGTGACGTATTCATACCCTTCTATCATCATTAATATCAGGCTAGGCAATTTTTACTAATAATTCTGGCAGTAATACTATAGTAATTTTTTAAGCATAGCTTAGATATGGCACAAGGCCGAAAGTATGGGATCGAGGATTGAAATCACTACCCAGTTGTAATTGTGACAAGCTCGCTAATCATTACACCACACTGATATGATTTTCTAAGCGTAGCTTAGATGTGGCATAAGGACGAAAGTGTGAGGATCGAACTCATTATTCCGTCGTAATTGATCTATGAAGTCGAGCTTATTACCCATTACACCACGTCAAATTATTCTGTAGCTTTAATACTATGGTGTGATATCGAATGCAAGATGTTGAATATCTATTTTCATGTGAAATGTTTTGTGAATAAGAGGTCGTAATAACGTATATCTCCGTGACTTGCAGAGAAGCATTATTCTGCAGAAAATATTTAAACTATTTATCCTCTTTTTGTGCTGACGCTACGGCGTCGAAGTCAATGACAAAGGTTATATCAACTGGCGAAATGTTTCTGGATGAAATGTCTTCCAGAATGTTAGAAATATACATTTATATATTTTATGAATGTTAAATATGTAAAAGCCATAGAAAAAAGTTAACAAAAACAAAAAAAAAACACAAAGGATAAAAATTTTAAAAAAAGACAACGCAACGCGCTATGGTTTAACCATCTTTATAGCGACAAGGTAAAAACTATTGCTGGTAGAAATTTCTTCAAACTAATTGATTTTTATACCAAAAGTTCACCAACATTAGAAATATTAAACAAAAAATAACAGGAACATCAGCTACTGCTGCGTTAGAAATAATCAATACCCCATCAATTTTTTGAATAATTATATCAACTGCAATAATAACAACACCAATAAAACAATAGAAGAAAAGAAAAAAAATGTAACTGCCAAAATAATAACTGTTCCTTAAACGGCCAATGTTTTTCTGTATATTATTTATAGAGTATCACAACCAACACGAATTCTATATTAGCTTTACTGAAAGAGAGTGGAAATAAAGATTTTACAACCACAAACTAAGAATACAAAAATACTACAGCTCTCTCTAAATATTACTGGCAAATAAGACATAGAGGAGCTAGTCCATATATTGCATGGGAAATTATGACAAAATCTAAATCTTACAATGGCAAGAGAGAAAGATGTAATATTTACCTAGAAAAATTGACCATTCTAAAAAATATAGACACTCCAGAATTTGGAGTGTCTATATTTTATACTATATATTTTATTATTATACTTAATAAAAGAAATGAATTAATGGTCACATGTAAACGTAAAAATAAATATCTTTTGAAAAATGTTGGTCCATATTGACCTCAGTAATTATCACCGCTCTTCATATTTAGATTATACTTATTTATTTATTTATTCTATTATATATACGTACACACACGCGCACACACATATATATATATATATATATATATATATTTCTTTTTTCATGCACAAACTCCTCCTTCAGTCCGTTAACCCTTTCACCAGGGGTCTCTCTTCCCTGGCTATAAATAGCCGCTGACTCTTGGCCTCTTTCTCTTTTTCCTTCAGGCCTGTGCACCGACACCTTGAGGTAAATCTATCTTTTTTTCCTTCAGGATTTCAACTATCAACCTCGAAACAAGGGATAACAAGGGATAGCGTGGAAACACGCTAAGCACCATACACACACACGCACACACATACAGAATATTCACACACACTTCGTCCTTTGTACTGTTTCCATGTATTGTAACTTCTTATTAATATATATTTGTATATACATATATTATCGGTCTTGTGTTTTGTTTGCTTTCTTTGCCTTCTTCTTTGGACTTAATCAAAGTCCAACCTTTTTATGTAGTTGGGCCCGGCGGGCAGGAGTATCTAAACCTTACATGCGTTTCTTCTACATCTGACTTCTATCAACAACATAACAGCCACGGCCCCTCTACAATATATCCATGTTTATGTAATTTTATGTATTTATGTTTATTTCTAAAACGTGAATATATATGGGATATACATCCGCATTTAAATAGATATATAGATAATTTTTCTCCCTAGTATCTATCTTAAACTATTTATAAGTCTACCATTTAGCTACGCTTTGAATATTACTGCAACGTGTGCTCCTGTCATACATTTAGAGATTCTTGATAAAATACAAAGAAGAATCAACAATATTATAGGTCCTGACCTGGTGCCTCGACTTCAGTAACTTTACCACTTCCATAATGTAACTTCCCTGTGCCTTTTCTATAAATACTTTTATAGTAATTGCTTCGTTATGGCACTTAGACTTTATGAATTTAAGCGTAGTGGGAGGATGGTGTAGCGTTTGTGCTGAAGAATTCCATAGTCTCTAGGCTGAAAGATATTCCACGTGATCACCTGATTATCTGATATCATTGAGAACGCCATTGTCAAACAATAGGTTTGTTATCTTAGTGAGTTTTTATGCTTGACATTCAATGCAATGACTCGTGGGAAGAGATCAAATCATCTGTTTATAGTATGGCCAGTGATGTTCTAGTGGAAAGAAAAACTGGTTTAATGAAAATTTTGAAGTTATTAAACGAAAAGAATATAGCGCTAACGGGATTCCTTGGATAAGTACCAGAAATTAGTAAGAATTCGTTATACATGGAGTTGAAGTGTAAGGTACAGCGTGGGCTCCATAACATAGAATACTTTTGATGGAGGAATAGAGCAAACGAGAGTCAGAAAAATAATATAGGGTAATACGATCGAAGCAAGGACAACAAAGACGAGGATGTAAAAGTTTAAGCCAAATTTTATTAAATAATCTGGCACAAGTATATACAAATAATCGTTTGCAGGAGTTCGGTCGTGTTAGTGTTTTGAAAGAGCGTTGTCAGGTTTCAAGGCGACAGCTTGGAGGTAGGCCGATGGAACAGCGGTGTTCGAGGTCCAGTCGATCCTTGGATGTCTGTCCTTGAGTAAAGAGCGCGTCGGCGCTTGAGGAGAGAGAGGATCGACGCGGATGGCTGGTGTAGTCTGTTCGTCCTTGGTATGACTGTCGTGCAGGATCGCAGCTTGGTAGTTCTAATAAAAGGACATTCGTAATAACGCGGCTAGGTTTAGTCCTGAAAAGGACTGCATATGCATATGTATGTCCGAGGGTAGACTAGTGCATATCATGTAACCGGCCGGATAGACTAGTGCATATCATGAAAGCCGAGGTCGGCATGCATGTAGCCGGGTGATGTGCTGTTGGCTGCTGCTGAAGCTGCTCTGCTGGCTCTGGCTGCTTCGTATGGTCAGCGAAGGTGAGAGGGGGCTGCTCGTCGCTCAAACCCCGAGGCCAAAATTCAGCCGGGAGAATTGGTTTGGTGGAAAAAATCCGCTGTGTTTTATATAGGCTGAGGTCGGCAACGTAGCCGGTTAGCGATATCTTTGGGGTGATGACTGAAAATTACCTTCTACTTTTTGACTGTACACATGGGTTCCATTCGGACACCATGTGTATATAAAGTAGTTTCTGGTAATTATTTTTTGGTTAGGAAAGTTCGTATATGTAAATGTTTCGTTTGTTTTGAGTTTGTGTGAGACGTTGACTGAAAAACGCTGAGTCACCGGAAGTTAACGGCATTCGTTATGTTTTCCGCGGTGACGCTTTTAGATGTTTGAGTAGCCGGCAGTAACTTCCGGCCGGGTGCGATAAGCCCCCCCTTCCTAGAGGATTGATCGTGATCAATTCGAAAAAAAAATATGTCTTTAGTTTGGCAGGAAAATGAACTCTTCTGCCTGATTTTGTTCGTACGACTGGTGTTGTTGTTTCATCTTCCGTCGTTGTTGGTAAGTCTGGCTCAGGGAGAAGTTTCCTCTAACCAAGCTGGTTTAAGTCGGTCGATGGAGACTGTATCTTTGTCTTTGCCGCGCATGATCGTGACAAATTTCTTAGAACGCTTCAGAACTTTAAAAGGGCCTTGGTAGCTAGGTGTGAGAGGTTTTTTTTACGGCGTCGTTCCTAACAAAAACAAAATCGCAGGTATCCAATTTCTGTGGTAAGTAGGAGCTTGTGGTTTGTTGTCGTGGGGGAGTGTATGTAAGTTTGTCCATTTTGTGGCGCAGATCTTGCACGAAAGAACTTGATGAGGTTGTGCTAGAGTACTGCGGAAGGTGAAAATATTGTCCTGGTAAGGAGAGAGGCATGCCAAACACGAGCTCCGCTGTCGAACACCCTAAATCAGTTTTGAGGGTATTCTGCAAAGAGAGCATGGTCATGGGGAGGTTGTCGACCCAGTTGTGTATGTCGAGTTTGGTTGACAGGGATGTTTTTAAGGATCGGTGAAATCTCTCCACTAGGCCGTTTGCGCAAGGGTGGTAAGCCGTCGTTTTAATGTGCCTGACACCCAAAAGTTGAGAGAATTCTTGGAAAAGCAAGGACTGAAATTGTGGTCCCCGATGTGTAGTGAGAACTTGTGGTACGCCAAAGTTTGTAATCCAGTTGGTGAGAATGGCTTTAGAAACTGTGGTAGCGGAAATGACCTTAATCGGCACAGCGACTGGCCATCTCAAAAAAACGGTCTATGATTGTTAGAAGGTATTGGTACCCCTGGCACATTGGTAGAGGCCCGACGAGGTCAACGTGGATGTGGCTGAAACGTGCGTCGGGTGTGGCGAATGTTCCAACTGGTGATTTTTGTGCCTCTGAATTTTGCATTTTTGACATTGTATGCAGGTTGAGACCCAATCCCTGATGTCTGAATTCATGTTGGGCCACACAAATCGATCGGCGATAAGCTTGACGGTTGCTCGCTTGCTCGGATGGGATAGATTGTGGAGATGGAGAAATACATTTTTTTCTAAGAGATGGAGGAATGTACGGTCTTGGAGTATCCAGTGCGGTGTCACAGAAAAGAGTTTTATCGCTGAACGGACACAGGAATTCCTGCAGTTTCAAAGAAGTCTCTTAATGATGTCAGGTATCGTCGTATCGTCTTTTTGTTTGTCGGCTATCAGCTCCTGGCTCCAAACGTCGTTATCCATGGTATTGACGTCTGTTCTGGACAATGTGTCTGCGACGGTGTTGTTCTTTCCTTGGACGTGTCTGATGTCCGTCGTAAACTGTGAGATGTAGTCGAGGTGACGTGTTTCACAGGATGTATATTTGTCTGCGCTGACATTCATCGCGTTGATCAGTGGTTTGTGATCCGTGAAGATAGTGAAATGTCTGCCTTCCAGAAGATGTCGAAAATGACGGATGGACAGGTAGATCGCCAGGAGTTCTCGTGAGAAGGTGCTGTATCTTCTCTGGGCTGCAGAGAGTTTAGCTGAGAAGAAGGCTATCGGCTGTCTCGTCATGTTCACTTGCTGCTCCACTACTGCTCCTATTCCAACGTCGGAAGCGTCTGTTGTAAGGAAAATTCTTGTTTCGGGTCGTTTTCGATGAATGAGAGTTTTGTGAAGTTTATCAGCGCTGTCTTTGCCCTTTCGAAAGCCCACAAGGTATCTCCCTCTAGGGTAATTTGTTTATTCTTCCGCTCTATGAGGTTTGTCAACGGGGAGAGAATTGTCGAGCAGTCGGGGATGAACCTGCGGTAAAATTGATCATACCGATAAATCGTCTGATTTGTTTTGTGGATGTAGGCGTAGGGAAATTTTTTAATCGCGTCGATTTTCTCGGGTAATGGTGTGATACCATCTTTGTCGATATGATGCCCTAAGAAATTCACCTCAGATGCCCTGAAAGTGCATTTGTTGATGTTCAGCCGGAGTCCATAATGTGCTATTCTTTGGAACACTTCGTTTAGATGTTGTTTGTGTGTGTTTTCATCTGTGCTGGCTACTAGTATGTCATCGATGTAGGCATATGCGTACGTTAGGCCGCGCAGTACCTCATCTATGAAGCGTTGAAACGTTTGTGCTGTGTTCCTCAGGCCAAAGGGCATCTTGAGGTATTCGAAGAGACCAAAGGGAGTGGTTACGGCAGTCTTTGGAATGTCCTCCGGAGCTATGGGGATCTGATGGTAGGCCTTAGTTAGGTCTATTTTCGAAAAGACGCGAGTGCCCTGCAACCCTGAGGCGAAATCGTGTATATGCGGGACCGGATAGCGATCGGGTATGGTTGTAGCGTTTAATCTTCTATAATCGACACATACCCTAAAGTCTGTGCTTCCCGGTTTAGGTACGAGATGTAGGGGTGAGGCGTATGGGCTATCGGAGGGTCGTATGAATCCGTCCTTCAGCATATTGTTAAACTCCTTTTGGGCTTATTCCAGCTTATGAGGAGGAAGTCGTCGTGGGTGGGAAAATGTTGGCTGTCCACTGGTCTTTATATGGTGCTGTGTTTGGTGTTTTGCCGGACCGGTACCTGCGAGTGGTTGAATGAGGTCGGGTATCTGTTTAGGATCTCGATGTATTCTCGTCCGTGGCAAGTTGTCACACTGATTCCAGTGGTGTTGTGTCGAGAGAGGGTGCCTTTAACAGAAATGTTCGTGGTATTGTCTGATAAAGTCCTCGTGTTCATATGCACGGCTAGATCATAATGGGCCAGGAAATCTGCCCGAGTATTGGCGTTTTTACGTCTGCCTGGGTGAAAGTCCAGGTAAAATCGCGCCGCATACCGATGTTAAGAGTCAGTGTCTTGGTTCCATATGTCTCGATCGTCGAGCCGTTTGCTGCCTGGAGCTTATACGGGGTCGCCTTTCGGTCTTGCTGTTCTTTGGGGGGGTATCACACTGATTGCTGCTCCTGTGTCCACTAAAAACTTTATGTGGTTCCGTCGGTCCCATACGCAGAAAAGGCGGCTTCGTATGTTTTTGCCGGGGTTCTGCCGCTCCTACCCGCCGGCTGTTTAGTTTTTTCCGACTTGGTTTTGGAGCTGTATTTGCAGGGTGCCGAGCAATTCCTTGCCCTGGTGCCGAATCTGTGATGGTACCAGCATAATTCCGGGTCGACTCGTCGATCCCTGCTGGTACTCCGTGCTCTCCGTCGCCAACCGCCGGTCGCCGGCATCGGGCCTCTCGATTTGCGGAAAGGAGCATTCGTATATCCTGCAGCTGATGTTGCAGGTCAGCTACTGCCTTTTCCAGATCCGTTTCTTTGGCTGGTGTGTCGTCTGGGCGCTGCATGGCACACACTCCTTGGTCCAGTTTTTGTTGCGATGCGGTCAGCGGAGTTTGCTAACTGGTCTAGTGGAGTATTGTCAGCGATTGGCGCCAATATCTGCATTATGGTAGTGGGTAACTTGTCCATCCACAGTTCGCGCAAGATTGATTCGGCCATGGAATGTTTTCCCAGTCGGCTCCTCATGAAGCGTAGAAGCTGTGAGGGTGTTCTGTCGCCCCTGGTGACGTGGGTAAAAAGTTCCCGGAGCAGTTCCTCGTCCGAACGGCCGGTTCGTTTTAGAATCGCATCCTTGAGGCGATTATATGGCTCCTGCTCGGGTACATGTTCCAAGATGTCGGCTACTTCATCGACAACTGAAGGTGGCAAAACCTGTACCACGTTGGCGAATTTTGATTGCTGTGAAGTTATTCTCCGTACTGTGAAAATGGCTTCCAACTGCAGAAACCAGTTCTTGGTGTTTTGTTCGTTGTACGGAGGGAGGTTTGTGAGTGGCATGGCTACATTTATGGAGTGTTCTGTTCCCACTCGTCTGTTGCCATCTTGCTCGATCGTAAATATCGGGGTCACCACTTGTTTAAGCAGGTGACCGTTAACCCCGCAAACAGAAAAATAATATAAGGTAATAGATCGAAACAAGGACAACAAAGACGAGGATGTAAAGTTTAAGCCAAATTTTATTAAATAATCTGGCACAAGTATATACAAATAATCGTTTGTGGTAGTTCGGTCGTTGTAGTTTTGAAAGAGCGTTGTCAGGTTTCAAGGCGACAGCTTGGAGGTAGGCCGATGGAACAGCGGTGTTCGAGGTCCAGTCGATCCCTGGATGTCTGAACTTGAGTAAAGAGCGCGTCGGCGCTTGAGGAGAGAGAGGATCGACGCGGACAGTGCTGGTGTAGTCTGTTCGTCCTTGGGTATGACTGTCGTGCAGGATCGCAGCTTGGTAGTCCTAATAAAAAGGACGTTCGTAATAACGTGGCTAGGTTTAGTCCTGAAATAGGCTAGTGCATATCATGTAACCGAGGATAGACTATTGCATATCATGTAACCGAGGATAGGCTAGTGCATATCATGTAGCCGAGGATCTGCTGTGCATATCATGAAGCTGGTGTAGGCCTGCTGCTGATGTCTCTGCTGCTGCTGCTGCTGCTGGCTCCTCTGCTGGCTTCGTGTGGTTAGCTGGGAGAGGGGCGCTCGTCGCTCTACCCCGAGGCCAAAATTCCGAGAAGAATAATTTTGGTGGAAAAAATCCGCTGTGTTTATATAGGCTGAGGTCGGCAACGTAGCCTGTCAGTGATATATTTGGGGTGATGACTGAAAATTACCTTCTACTTTTTGGCTGTACACATGGGTTCCATTCGGACACCATGTGTATATAAAGTAGTTTCTGGTAATTGTTTTTGGTTAGGAAAGTTCGTATATGTAAATGTTTCGTTTTTTTTTTAGTTTGTATGAGACGTTGACTGAAAAAACGCTGAGTCACCGGAAGTTAACGGCATTCGTTATGTTTTCCGCGGTGACGCTTTTAGATGTTTGAGTAGCCGGCAGTAACTTCCGGCCGGGTGCGATACCTGCAGTTTCACTAAAGAACATAAGGCAGAAATTATTTCCCTGGTGGAAGTCGAAAATGGTATTTAAAAAAAGACGAAATAATGAAAAGTTACTTGGCATATATGGTATCTTCATTTCTTCTTCTTTTTTAATTGAGTTCACCTCAAACAGGGCGGTACAGCCACTAAGACACAATGGCTTACAGAGTGTAGAAGAATTAGGAACAGGAACATTAATAATCAGCGAGAAGAGGAAAGAGTAATCAGGAGTACAGTAGATAGCGATTGGCATTGCATTTAATTTTTTGAAGATTAAAAGTGGCTGGAAAGCATGGAACCGGAAGGGAGTTCCACAAGTAAAAAGAAACTGTTAGCATAGAAGTTACGTTTACATTTAGCCAAATCAATTATAAAGTGATGAGATCTCGATGCCAGTTTAGTAGTGCGCTTAAATTTTAAAAATGCCTAGGTATCATAGCGAAGTGCTCATCTGAACAATTACTATGAAAGTATAGGGGAGGCAACCTCACGGTGATGGGAAATTGGCTGAAGCCGAGACACCAGATCAGGACCAATAATATTTTATTTAGATTCTTTTTTGCATTTTTATAAAATAGCTTTTAGATAAATTTTTTTAGACGTGAAAAGAGTAAATGGACGTGTCATCAGCAATTTGAGAGCTGATTCCATCGGGCGATTCACCTAAGTTCTTAAAAACTGGAACAACAAATGTGGAGTTCCAGCATGTAGGAAAGCAAGTGGTAGCGAGGCATTTATTGTACAGTTTATAGAGAACAGGAGCCAGTTCGAGAGTACACTTCTTAATGGATATTACAGGGATACTACCAGGCACACATGATTTGTGAGGATCTACGCTAGAGATAGCATTAAAACACGCCCAAACTGAGATCTAGAAACGTGGGAGTGAAAATCTAGTTCAACATCTAACTTAATTTTTTGAGATGGCCGAAGGAAAACGACTAGTGCACATATTGAAATTGATGTATAAAGATTGCAATAAGAACACACAGAATTTTGTTGAGCGGGAAAAACTCAAAAGAGATGTTTGTAAGGGTCTTAATGTCAATTTTCATTTGATACAACATGTAATGAATGTTACTGCCTACGTAGGGCAGCAATAATCATCAAAGTGGCCTGACGTTGAAAGTTCAAAATAAATAAATAAATGTAGAAATTACTGCAAGCGGGACTCAAAATAATATAAGACGCTAGCAGGGCTAAAAAAGCTACGTCCACATCCATCTGTAATTGAGAATAAATCAAACGATGAAATTACTCGAAATCAAGTAGTAGTCATCATTTATGTGTGTATGAGACATTCGCCGAGACATAAGTGTCCTTCATATATAGTCCTTTTTAAGTATGAAGGACACCTAGTCCTTTTTAGGACACCCTTGGGCTTGAAGGACACTCGATTTTTTGTGGAGTGGGTACAAACTTCTAGGAGAGGGATATGCGTATATAAAACCTGAAGCTCACTTGGTTCTCTGATCGTTTCAATCACTGGTACTATGGCTGATTGTACTGAAAAGTGGGTTTAGCGTTCTATCCACTCAAAACAAAATTCACAGACAGGAAGCTTCCTGGACAACCATCCCTGAAATGTTCGTTTGGGAATTATAAGTTAATGTAAGACTCTTACTCGGCCACTAGTCGACTGCCACTACCAGGTATGTATGTGTTTAGAAGCTCGTCAGGTTGGTTATGCACTGTTTTCTTTTGTCCCTCTTGCCTTCAGTATATATCCTGTGAGTGTGAAATTTTCCAAGTCCCCTTTCCTATACCGTAGAAATTTCAACTGTCTCTTTCTGATGTTAATTTTAAGTTCCCTTTTCGTTTACATTTTCTCTAAAATATCTTCATTGCTCACATGTTCAGTCCATGTTATTCTCAGCATCCTTCTGTAGAACCACATTTCTGTTGCTTCAAGTTGCTTCTTCATCTGTGTGAAGATTTTCGAGCATTCACTGCCATATAGGAGAACTGATATTACGTAACAGTTCAGTACTCTTTTTCTAATAAAAATTTCCTGTTTGCTTAACACAAGAGGACACCTTTCACTATCCCAGTACATCTTTGAATTTTTGTGTCGCACTTTTCGTTCTCTGTTTAAACACTTCTCAGATATTTAAATTGTTGTACTTGCTCGATTTTGGCATCTCCAATTTGTAATTTGCATGTTGGCTGTTCCCCTTTTGTTGACAATCATATATTCTGTTGTAGGGAATTTAGTCGTCCAAGTTTTGTTAAAAGCTCGAACTTTCAAATTCTAAACAATAATAAAATGAAAATAAATGAAACACGGGAATGCCTGTTAAATAAATCATTTGTATTTACAAACATATGAACATAAATTCAAAAGAGTCAAAAATTATTAGAAATAGTCTTTAGTTGAGTAAAAGAAAAGTCGTTTATAAGGGGGTTTCAGCGTACCCGGATTAAAGGAGAATTTAATACGGGATAAATTGCCCACAAAATACAACGCAAATTTCAAGAGGAAACAACACGATAAGGAACGTTTATAGAAAAATAGAACATTGTATATTTATTATCTTGTGAATAGGGTAAAAAGGATTAATGCTTTTTAGTTCGTTTTAAGCAAAATTGTGATTTTGATGAAAATGTCTGTGTTCGCTGTCTTTTAACAGAGTAGCAGAGTAATATTTTATTTGTATAGTTGCAAATGAAAAGGGGCGAGCAATTTAAGTTGAAAAAGAGTGTGAATGAGGAATAAAGATAAAAGGAAAATGTACTTATGAATTGTTTTGGAGTCAGTTGTAAATTTGTTGTTGTTGTTCTTTCCTACTCCACTTTCGGCTCTTTGTGTCGGTTTGAGTCAGTGATGAAATTTACTGTCAATCTTCTGTGATCTTTTGCGCCCTTCTCTGACTGACTGACTGGCGACTGACTTGAAAACTCTGTATTTATTGTTGACTTTTTTTTCACACTGGCTCGTTATCTTTTTTTTCTTTTTGGTTTAGCAAATCGCCTCCTTTCATTGGTCAGAAAATTAAATTCACACCTTATTGTGAAATCTGTTTTTAGTCGTTTTGATCCGATTTTGCGGGTGTGCAAATCTACTTTGTGTTTTTTTAGTCATTTGTTGGAATATAGGATTTGTATCCTATAGGTAGTTGGTGCACAGAAAAAACTGTAGTTTAGAAAATAAAATTAAATAGTTGGTCTACAGAAAAAATGTAGTTGAAAAAAAGACTTTTATCGTTAAAAGTTATTCACTAGCCGTTTTTGCTGTTGGAACAGTATTCGTTTGAAGTCGCCAACTCACCGGCTATACTGCCAGTGTCATTGTAGCTGATTCGTTTGAAGTCGCTGACACATGTTTCTTCTAGCAGGCACTTTTTGTGTCCTAACGGCTTGGAGGCAGTCTCATCTCTGCTGCTGAAAGTCGAAATCTGTGGGGTTTTATGAGAAAT